TTTAAGGGGTGACATATTAAAAATTTTCTTTTGTTCTTTTTGAAACATTTTTTTTTTTTTGGTCTGAATCCAGGAATATGAAAGACAAACGTTTTCTCTCTGCTTAGTAATTTTTCTGTCTAACTCTTCTTCATAGGCCTCCCAGTAACGGTGGATTCAGGAGAAAATTCAGGGGCAGTGAAAAACAAGCTGAACCAGTTGTAGTTTTAGATCCTGTTCCTGAACATGAACCCCAAACCAAAGACCAGGTCGCTGAAAAAGATCCAACTCAATGCAAGGAGAAGGAAGGCAGGATGAAACCAGAATACAAAGGAGACAGCGGTGAAAAGCCAAGAGAGACAGAGAGTTCCAACTGCTGATTTGGAAGCCGGGGGCCGACCTGTTTGCAAGTCCTTTCTATAAGCACATGGTTCGTTTTAGGCGTACTGTCCTGTTGGACATCCCACTTGCTCGGGTCACTGTATTGGCTACACACATCTTTCCTGGTATCCTTTTGTAAGTAGCAACTATAAACATAAGTAAGCTGTTTAGCAAAATACACATTCTGAGTAGATTTTGATCTTTATAGAGGTAAGATTTTTTTTCCTGTTACTACATAAAGTGTGACTTCCTCTAGATGGTGGCAGAAAATTCAGATGTAGGAAATGTGCGTACCACTCATCAAAATCAACTGTGTTGGAAATTCAAGGTGGATGTGGATAACTGGATAAACAGAACTCACCAAACAAAATGATCCCAAAAGCCTTCTCTAGTCTCTCAACCAGCTGTGTTGTGCTCCTAGCACCTGGGAGGCTGAGGCAGGAGGATTGCTTGAGCCTGAAGTTTGAGGCTAGTTAGGGCTAAATAGCCAGACTCATTCTAAATTAGAAAAAAATCCCCAAAGAAGCTTCTGCCTGGACTCTGGGCCTCTCTGGATGGAGAAACTGCAGTCGCATGGAAATCAGCTGGTCTTGTAGCAGCTCCATCATTTTGTAGGGTAGACCGAGATCATCTTAGAATTCAGGAGCTGGCATCAAGCTCCACAGTACTTCAGGTCACAGTTAATCATTAACTATTGTGTGAGAAGCACAAGCTCTTGTGCCCTAAAGCTCGCCAAGGACTTCAGGGGCAGTGTTCTGGTGGCCTGTGTGGTGAAGTGAAAGTCCAAACCTTGAATTTAACAGTAATAACCTGGTAAACCACATTTTCTGTGCCATGAGTTAATTGTTTTCCCATATACTCGTGTGGCACAAGCACCATATTCTACCGCAGTTCTGATACCCAGCGAGGACAGGTGACGAGCACACGTTTTTCTTGCTTCACTGCTGTTCACTACATTACACAGTTGTTGTTGTTTTTTATAAAGAGGAAATTAAGTGGTGGTTTCTAAAAATACAACGTTTCAGGCTACCACAGTGAATAAATAGAAATGTAATCAGGGATTTAAAAAAAAAAAAACTTATGCAGGTTTTCAAAGTTGATTGTTTCAAAATTGGTGTTTATTTAAAATAAGTGGTAATGTACTTGAATGCAGTTTTTATGACAATGATTCAGTAATGGTAATTTTACTATTAAAGAAACTGAAAGGTTTAGTTTTGTTAGCATGACTCAGCATGTAGCTGTCAGGTGCTTCGCACCTAAGGGCAAAAGAAAACGATAGTAATAATTGCAGTAGTTGTGTTGTGTTGTATTTTGCACGTGTGCTACCAGCATTGGCTTGAGGAGGGGAGACAGGTGAGTGGACTTCCTCAATTTGGAGACAATTATCTTGCTGTAGCTTCATTATGCTTGACTATTTCTGTGTTCTTTCAGTGCTGATTTTACAGTTCCCTATCAGTTTACTCATGGGGAATTAAAATGCAATGTTTTTTTAACTGTGTGCTTCTCCAGCTGAACAATACTGCCAGATGATGTGCTAACTATAAACAGTAATCCGTTTAGATGGGTTCTCTTAGCTTGTGATTTGAACGCTCCTCACCACAGCATATTAAAAAAAGACACGCCAGCAGTTTCTCATTAAGGGTCAGTTGTGGTTATTGACATGTTTTAGTTCTCCAACCTAGAAGAACGCTTTGTTTTTATTTCGTTTTGTGTTGTTTCTTCTATGATGGGGATGGAATTCTCACATGCTAGGGCAAGCTGTCTATGATCGAGCCACATCTCCAGTCTCCAAACTGAGCCAATCTTGACATTCTTTAATAGTCAAACAATGTAAGTGGATAACTTCAGTAAGTTTTCATACTCCACAAGTCTTCTTCCATGCTTCTTGTGTGTGGCACCAGGTTGTACCACAACCCTTACATGCGTTTAGGAATATGAAAACAGGCACACCACCTTTCCATGTTATTTCATCACACATATTGACAAAGTAACGTGGTTTAAGAGCAGCCTCATTTCCAGCAGAAGAAAATTAACCATTAGGCAAGACGTGCTGGCTAGACTAGGCATCGATTAGAACCTGTAATTTTGAAAGCATCTTTGCTTTTTAGACTTTTGAAAATGTACTTTCCTTCCCTGTGACCGCAGAGCCTTGCAAATGACTGTAGTACAAAGGTATCTGATGTAGCCATTTGTTCATCTTTTCCTACAGTTTTCCCTTTCATCTCAGCTTTGGGGTTCTGTCCCTTGCTGCGTATCTGAGGGCAAAGCAGCTGGTCTTGTCTTGTGTATCTTTAAGATATGCTCTTAGCTGTTTGCACAGAAAGGTTCATAGGCATCAACTCATGCCATTTTAAAGTTAGGAGGAATTACACATCTCTGTTTTCTCTAGCGGGGCATTTTGCTCTGTTTGGGAAATATAGATTAGGTTTCTTGCTGCAGTTCTCTTGACTAAGGTTAACACCCTTTATAGCCATAGTGAGAAAGAGGGATACAGGTCCTTTGCTCAGCTAAGTAAAAGAAAGGGTCTGTCCTCTGGGATATAAGAACATCATTAAAACTCCTGCACCCTTTTATGTCTGAGCAAGTCCCACAGAAATTTCTATCTGTCATTTTAACAGTTCTCCAGCCAAAGGGGCTTCTGTTTGGCAGGAGCCAACGGGGCCACCAGCACCAGCCTGGCTTGGCCTGAGTAAAAGGGAAGGATGTTTTGGCTCCAACCAATAACTCTTCCTTATCTTTGTGAACAGTAAAAGGGTTGTTGAAAATGGAGAAGCACCATAAAAATGATTGTAGGTTATCTTTCTTGACCACTTTGAGGTGTGTATTGGGCAAGTAATAGCCCACATGACGGTCTTAAAATCAGTCTGAAGTGCTTTTGTAAAGGCATACCATGCATGAATCATTTCCACCAGAAAGCCATGTTAGTATATATACCAGTAAGTTGTGAAAGACAAGTAACCTGGCTGTCATTGTCACTGAACTCAGAAGGGTCCTCAGGGGTCCTTACACAGGCATGGGAATGGCTTGACATCTTTTATAGACACATTTTCTCATTCCATGGTCATTTTAAATCTGAGCTATGACTAGTTTCTTTTATCTCCTTATAGATAATATTATGTATTTTATAAGAGAAAGAGGGATATAGAGAAGGAGGAGGGAGGGAGGAAGGATGGAGCAAGAGACAGACAGACAGAGAGAGAAAAAGAGCATACATACAGTGCTTCACCCTCTAAGAAATGCTCCCTAGCCACTGGTCAGAACAGTTCTCAAGTTAGGTTAATAAGACCACACTGCATTCTGAGTGTTGACCTGGTAAAGGTAATAAGTCATCTCTTCTGCTTTTATTATAGTTTATATACATTTCAAGGCATATTCATGTAATTTGGTTGCGTGTGAACGTATGCATGCATGCAAGGACATCCGCTAAAGCTAGACATCTAGTTACATCTGTCTTGCCTTTTAAATGGATTTTCCTTCCAATTTCTTCTGCCCCACTGTTTGTTGCTGAGCATCAGGAGAGGCAGCAACAACCACAAAACTGTGACACATTTCCCGCAACTTAAGAGTGTTGCTGACCAATTCTCCAGGACATGCTCCAAGAGTCTGCCACTGAGCCAATTTCAGACGGGATCAGGCGCATTCAGGGTGGTATGGCCATAGACCAGTTTCAGATTGTAGCTTTGAAAGTAAGAGATTGGTTCTACTCTGAGAACATGATGCTCCCTTGGTCATTCTCTTCAAAAGAGAAGTCCTCAAAAATTTATATACTGTTTTAGAAGTCTCAGACAATTCTGCTACAGGCCAAGACGTGGCAATTTATATAATCTTCAGGAGATACAAAGAGCCCTTGAAATAACCCTAACAAAGAACTCACCCATATAAAGAAGTTTAATGTTACTACATTTATATATTTGAATATTTATTTCTAGAACTCCTCTGTTAAAACCCCTCTGTTCACAAAAGAGGAGAATCCATCAACATGAATTTGGTATCATTTGATATCAAGATGATATCAAATAATCATTAAGGATATTTATTTGCCAGTGTTTTTATTAACTTTTATCAATACTTATTCCAAAAAGGATCTAAGAAGAAAATAATACACAAACAACTAAAACGTAAGAGGAAGGGATCAGGAGGAAGGGATCAGGAGAAAGGAAATAACTGTAGGAAACTTAAGATGAAGGTGTTCGGCTGTTCCCAAGGAGGCAGCGTTCTGGTACTTGTGATTGCCTACAAAAAAAGTGTCTGTAGGCAGAGGGCCAGGAGAACCACAGATGACGAGCTCCTGTTCCCAGGGCCGAGAGCTGCTCACAGAATTAGGTTTTTGGTTCTGGAGATATTCTGATTTGTGAAGGATGAGGTGCATAGTGAGTATACACCTAGTAACAAAAACACATTGGCCTCAGGACCTTGAAAAGTAGACAGCAGAGCCAGTGTCCCCGTGGGAATGTGACAGATGAAGAACAAAGCTCACAGAATTTCAGGCAAAGCTGTCAAATACACATTTTACCAAACAGTGAAACTGAAAGAATAAAAAGAGCACACAGTTAAGAGCAGAGCTGACATGGAGACAAGCCATGTTCATGGTGTGGCTGTGCCCTATGCAGGGGTCCAGCCCTGTCTTGACAATGCTCATATTTTAGTTGATTCTTCCACAACCTCCGTGGGGAAGATGGAGTCCAGGGGGCCAGGCACTTCCTCGGGCATCGTGGCAGTGGCCTCCGGTGTCTTTTCAGCACCCTCTTGAAAGTAAGAAAAATTGTGCTCTTCGCTGCAACCTATTTAAAACAACAATAAAGTTTACTGTCCTGATCCAGTGGTGCTGATTCTGATGTTATTTGTCCCACAATCGTGACCCAGAAAGGATCCAGACCTCGTAGAACATAGGACTAAAGCTAGGCAATAGAGTTGTGTCCTGTTGCTGATACACAGTGGCAGAGGCCACTACTGTGTGTGAATAGAAACCAGCATCAACCATCCCAAGGAAACCACGGCAGGCCATTCCAGGCAGGTCTTTGTAAGTCACGCCCATACTTCAGTGGCTGAGATTTTACTAAAATCTCCTCAAAAGTGGGAGTGGAACTATTTGTTTTACCAGTTTGGGGTCCCCTTAAAGTTTATTTAAAAGAGTCGGAGAACTCGCTAGTCGTTTAATCCATTTCAGAGTGTGTGGGGGGGGGTTGTACTAGTGCCTGAGAAGGGGCTGGGTCTCTCCAGTTCTTTCTCATACTCTGAAACAGCTAGGTTTCTTGGGAAGTCTGACTGGAAATGGAAGAGGCCATTGACTTAAGTCACAATGACAAAAGATAAGATTTTTGGAACAATATAATTAGACCTATCTGTAACAAAAAAACAAGCCATAGTATCATGCAGTAAACAACACTAACTTACATGACTCAGAAATATTTTCCTATTATATCCTTATTTCTTATAAATCTTAGGGTGTGTATCAAGATCCCCATGTATACATTAAACATAACAGGTTTTTAATCACAATTTTTATTGGTCCCTTTATATTTCTCTGTGTGTTATAACCACCTTTGAGCCACTGAGTAATACAGAAAACAAAATGTGTGTTTAGGAAGATTCTCACTAGCCAGGACACTAGAGCTTCTACACAGATTTACAAAGGATGGATTTAATAACTGATTGGTTCATTTCTCTCAAGCTGGTACCACATAAAATCAACACGCTGTCTTCTTGTTGGAAGTAAAACAAGTTGTTTCCTAGAGCCATCAGGAAAACATCTGCCTTTAACTTTCAGGGGCTGTGCAGAGAAACCTTAAGTATAATTTGGGCCATAACAAAAGGTAGGCTTGGAGATTCCAATCAATTAATTCTATTGAAAAGCACCAAGCAGCCTATTCAGCAAGAAGAAGGCTGGGAGTCTTAAACATTCAGGTAAATAGATAATCCATTAAGACAACAATAGACTGTGGTGAGTGCCATCCTGGTCTTGACAGCACGGATTTATGGTCTTTGGATTGTCCCGCCCTCCTGCCGAGGGACTTCTATTCCCTCCCTTCCAATCTTTGTTCCCTTATTCATAGCTAAGCGAAAACAAAGCGAGAAAGCTGCACATACCCCATGTTCCATTGTGGATGACTTCTTCCTCTATAGTCAGGAGGCGGTTGTATTTGGTCACCCTTTCACCCCTGGAAAGACCCCCCAACTTGATAAATCGGGCACCGAGTCCAACAGCCTGAAGGAGGGAAACAACCTATTTTAAATATGAGAGTCGTGCTTTTGCTAAGCTGCAATCCTTTAAAGAGAAGGGGACTATGGTGGCATTCTGTTGGGGGTTTTTCCTCTTGCAACTGGTTTGCTACCTTTATGGAAGCAAAATGGCCTGCTGGCAAGCTGAGCGCTGAAAGGCAAACAGATGGTGTGACTGACTGTCCATCAGGCACTTGACTAGTCCTGAGAAAGCCCCTATTTCATCTGAGCACAGCCTGGCCTTTGACACCTCATTTTAGAAGGGAAGATTGCGAGCGCATACCCCAGTCATTTCACTGTGCCCATCATTTTCCCTGGATTTCAATTTTGCCTCTTTTTAAAAGTTCAAAGATTAGCTCTTTGCAAAAGGGAGCTGTCTGGGAGGAAACAAGTCTATTTCATAAAAGGTTACAGGACTTTCTCCACCAAAGATTGCATTTCTCTGAAATACCAATTCGTGATAAAAGCAGTGTTTTGGCAATTCTGCAATTGACCACCGTTCAGCACTTACCAAATCGACAAGGCTGTCATCAGACGTCTCGGCTTCCGTGCTTCCCAGGACAGCAAGGTGCTTCTTACCTAGAAGAGCAGTTCCTGTCAGTTATGTGTGTCACGGAAGCAATTCAGATTTATGAAAGCCTCTGGGATCAAAACTAGAAGTTGGCTAGAGATTTAAGAGTTCCAGTGAAGAACCAATTATCTGACCACCTAAGAATTCTCACCCAAACATCTGCATTTTTATTGCCTGGGGCTTATCTGTTTGGTCCTTTTTTTCTGTGCCTTAGATGCTATTAAAAAATAAAAACAGCTGAGCACAGTGGTGTACACCTTTAATCCCAGCACTCTAGAGGCAGAGGCAGGCGGATCTCTGTGAGTTTCGAGACCAGCAGCCAGTTCCAGCCCAGCTGGGGCTACAAGGAGACCCTGTCTCAAAAAGATATAATAAATAGGAACTGAGGAGATGGCTTAATGGATAAAAGTACTTGCCATACAAGAGCAAGGCGTTTGAATCCCTGGAACCCACATAAAGCTGGATGCCATAATGTGAGCGGCTGTGAACCCAGTGTTTCTAAGGGGGAGATGAGAGGTGGAGACAGGAGAATCCCTGGAAGCTCGGGGGCCAGCAAGCCTGGCCTGTGCAGCTGAAAATGAACAAGCGATCCTATCTCAAACAAAGTGGAAGAAGAGGTTGTCCTTTGACCTCTACAAGCATACATGCACCCACACACACAGAAACATGCACACACAAAAGCATGTTTCATTCTATATAAGATACACAGATTATAAGATGCAACATCATCATCACTAAACCGAGAGGAGGGTGTGCAGATCAGACGGACAACTTTTCTAAAAACAGCTCTAAGATATGATTCCATTTTGTTGCTGTTTAATGTAGAAGAATGGGCATCTCTGAACCAATGGAATGTGGTAAGTTCGAGGGTGGTATGTGTAGAGTTTATAGCTGATGGAGAAGCTTTCTCATTCCATCCTGGAGAATTTTACTCAAAGGAGTATCTTTCTGGATAATTCAGAGTTGCTAACATTTAGACATTTGAGGATTTCAAAATCCCTTGAAACTTGCCAAGCTCTATAAAGGGCACAACTCTAGTTCTATAGTGACAGTGTCTTTTAGAGGCAGGACCATGCTGAGTAGCCAGCCTGAGAAGATAGGCCAGGGCTGGAGCCTTCCATCAGGCACCTCCAGTCCCCTCTGCAGGGGCAGACAGCCCACCTTCTGGCCACCTGCCCCAGCCCCCGGCTGCCAGGCTGGCTCTGAGACCTGCCCCAGGTCTGAGGCTGGCCTGCCTAGTCCCAACCGTCATCATCCAGGCACCGTGCATAGATACACAGGATAGTTATGAACTCACTGAAGTTTACGGTGCATTGGGGGACACAAGCCCTTCAAAGGCCACACAAAATCATCATGGTCAGCACTACGGAGAACTATGAAGGTTCAGAGCAGAACCAGTTGGGAATGGGTAGGTCAGGGGTGGTGTGGACACCTGTAGACACTCCATTTAAGTCAAGACCTGAAGGATGAAGAGGAGTTAGCTAAGTGAATGGCAGGGCAAAACATTCTGGGCCAAAGGAGCGTATGTCCAGACTGTGAGGTGGTAGAATTTGAAAATAAGGAACTGAAAAGGAGCAAGTATGGTCACTGTAGGGTCATGAGAGAGTTTAACCTCTTGAAGCCTCAAGTTCTCATCAGTAAAATGGAAAGAAAGTGCATTGTGTACTTCACAGGGTTGCTGTAAGCAACCTGTGAGCCTAAAATAGCTGCTGTCTGCACTACACAGAGCTGCTCTCCCCTCTCATCCCAAACCCACTAGCGATAACCCTCTGCTTCTCACTTCATCCCTTGGTCCCCATTCTGCGATCCTGCTCGAGTCCCAGCTTCCTGGCTAGGAGCCCGCTTCCAGATGTTTCCTTACTGCTACACAGCCTCGCGAACCTGGAGGTAGCTTCCTGGTGTGAGAGCAAGCCTCCCTCCTGTCCTCTGTTCTGACGGAAAAGCTGTTTCTCCCAACTGGATCTTACCATTTCCTTGACTGCTGAGGTTGCTCTAGTTCCAAATTCCCTAAGTCAATGCAAAATAAAATGGCCCTGAGGTCTGGGTATATGATAGGCAGCTAAGTTTATTTCAATCACATTAATTACCACATCCTTGCTTAGGCTTTGTCTATGGGAGAATGACCACAGCTCACTCTTCCACACAGAAAATCTCCTAGATTCATGGAGATAAATCTCTGTGTGTGTGTGTGTGTGTGTGTGTGTGTGTGTGTTTATGGGTATGTGTGGGTAAGCACATATAGATGTGTACACATGCATGTGGAAGCCAGAGGACAACCTCACATGTCTTTTTGTTTAAGACAGGGTCTCTTGTTGGTCTGGAACACCACTGAGGAGGCCAGCAGGCTCTAGGGATCCACCTGTCTCCACTTCCCATCATTCCATCACTGGGATTCTAAGCACACCTGGCTTTTTGCATGAGTTCTGAACTCAGGTCCTCATACTTGTGAGGCAAGCACAGAGCGACGGGGATGAAGAGGGAATTCACAAGTCCTTAGCAACATGCTGCAGGCTAAACAGATCTGGCTCTTTGGCTCCCGGGAGGTTCTTGGTGCCACCATGCCTTTGCCAATGCCAAGCATTTTGTGAGCTTGAGTACTGTACTGTGTTGGAAACATGGGCAAGGTATTGAGGATTCCCCAGAGCAGAACTCAGCGCTTCAGACCTGTTCTTTAGCAATGGGGGCTGAGTACTCATTTTGACCAAACTCACAGCCTAAAACAAACAGATGGGTATGCTAAGACGGTTGTACCCTCTCACAAAAATCCAGGCTTTAGTCCTCCTGTTAGGGACAGAAAGCCCTGCCCTGCTGCAAAGCTGGCAGTGCAGTGGCCCTCAGTGAAAGATCTGATCCTATGAACTAGGGTTGCTGTGGAACATCACAGCATGCGGCACTGAGCTGCACTCAATTCCCCACAAATGGCTAGGCTCTCTGCTTTCAAGATTTAGTCTTTGCTTTTTATTAACTTTGACATGCTGCATGGGTTTGGCTCCTTGCGTAATCAAACCATTACAGGTCCTTCAGATCAGTGTTTTTGCTCACCGTCAATAAGATGGGTTATTTCCACCAAGTCAGACACTGTGGTTTGGTTTGTGTATTTTATAACCAGCCCGTGGGATTTGGGGGTGCTGATGTTTCTGTGTTCTAGGAGTTTGGAGATGCTTTTGGATGCGGCTCCTGCAATGATGTAGCACCTGGAAGCCAGAGCGTTATAGATGCTGTCCCACTGTTCAGAGTCCTGGGTAAATAAGAGTGGATTACTGTAATGCATTGAGTACCATCAGGAGACAATAGGAATCATAGCACATAATCACATTATACACTGAGATACATAAAGCATTTTCTTTTATATCTCTGCTGTAAGGATCCCTGTACTGTAGTTACACAAATTAGCAAGCTTCATGGAGAGAAGCTTCAAGTCATTTAATTTGAGCTTAAACATCTTGTAAAAAAAATGCGAGTGCATTAAATATTATTCCCACATTGACTGTGGAGTTCTTAGAACTCAGGTTATCACTGTCCACTGTTTCATCCGTAATGCTATTAAAGACTAGCTGGTTAGAAGGGTTTTTTTTTCAATTATTTATACTAAATAAACAAAACAAATAGAGCTTGCAAGGGACCTTGACCCTCTTTATTAGTCAAGGCTGTTGAATTGGTAATGATGTGACCATATATGAGATGAAATGCATATTTAACAAATTATATGTATTATATATGTGCATATACCTATATGCACAAAGCCTTCCCAGCCATTGGGCTAGAGTTCATGTTATCCCATTATTACTGACTGGGCAGGTGGGTCCTATCACATTGACAGAGCTATGGTCAGAGCTTCAGCACTGTCGTCACAGAGCCCAAGGCCCTGAGCTCAGCTGTATTTTCTAAGAGTGCTGTATGTAGCCTGGGTCAGGAAACGGGAGATGGAACTGAGAAGTCCAGAAACTCCAAATGAGATCTGTCTCTCCTATTATCCCCAAATCTAGTTAGTTGTCTCAGGAGAACAAATATTCAGTATACAGATGGTTTTCAAATTCATAAAATCAGGGGCTGGAGAGATGGCTCAGCGGTTAAGAACACTGGTTGTTCTTACAGAAGACCCGGGTTCGAATCCCAGCACCTACATGGCAGCTAACAACTGTCCATAGCTCCAGTCCCAGGG